CTGCCTGATCCCTTTCGGCAACCTTCCATATCTGCTGCCTACATACATAGCTAAGTCTAATATATATAGAAACGGCACATACGCCATACACGTACATGCATTGGTACATATGGCATTTAGTAGTCTTGGCAGAGGAGAAGGATGGTCTTTGATATGCTGACGGTTGAAATTATCAATTCAGATGAGGCCAAGAGGCGGCGGTCGTTTGGTAAAACTGCGTTTGATCTGCTTCACCCTATCCAGGAAGCCCTCGGCATTTTCCGTCAACCTCCGCAACGCCCCCCCTGGGACTTCGACGAAGTATCAGGAAGAAGAAAAAAGAGAAAGAGATATGTAAAAAAATTATACCTACCTCGAGATATTCGACCCTCGAGGCTCTTCCACGCTTCACTCGCTCTCTCATCCGTACGATGGCCTCACCTTCATCTTCTTCACGTGGACCCCATTGCTCCAGCAGTGTCCTCGCGTGTACGTCCGCTCTAATGTAGTAGAAAAATACATTACGTTTATTGGAAAAGCATGCATACCTTGTAAAATTATTTTTCACTGACACGCCTTGGCTAGAGACTTCATTGTTTTTCATCTGTCAAAAAAAATAACATTGAACTCATGGACCGAGTACAGGACAGTTCAGAAGTTCCAGCGCGACCCCTGGCGATGATCAGAATCATTTCGTAGAAGAGTCGATCCGATTTCAGTGAAGAAACAAACCCCTATTTAGCTCCCCTTCACTTCCTGCATTAGACGCACGCACGTGGACATTATCTCCAGCAGAGCTCAGCGCGCTTATACACACACGTGCTTTTAAACGTCAGCTAATCGTTTCCTCTTTAGAAAGCCAAAGAACGTGGCGTTTCCCTCAATTTGAATAAATTCAACTACACTGACAATTGAACCTAGACCCGGGCTTTTAATGACAGCATACGACTTCCCTATAAACAGTAACCCACGAAAAAGGGTGCGCGTACGCGTAGCGCACGCGGAGAGCACTAAAAGGGTGAGCACCGTCTTACGAGGAACGGACGCTTATAAAAATTAATCGTTTTGCCCGGTTTCCTAATTCCTGTTTAACGAGCGCTCGTTAAATTAGTTTGTATGCATCAGGGTTTGTTAGCGAGAGTATTAGATGGCAGACGTTCATATGCGGGTTTTCTCCTTTCTCCCCTGCACTCCGCATCCCTTACTTCCACCGTTCACTCACATGACCATCCTTATCTCTATATACGTGAATACGTCATCTACAGTACACTCTCGTCTAGAAGTATTAAAAAAAAAAAGAACTCCTTACGCTGTCCGATCCCTCCTGGGCTCCCACATATAACGCAATAATCATTTAATTCCGGACGTCGTACGCGCAGCGGTTGGCGCCAAGTCAATCTAAGCCAACCGGATATGCTTCTCTCGTCTGCTTTGTTCTGCCACTGACGTAATCCCGAACTGGCAGACGCGACTACATGCTGTACGATACGTAATACGTAGCCCGTCAACCGTATCGCAAGGGTTATACAGCCTTCAGAGAAATACAGAAAGGGCTGTGTAATAATTCCTTATAGCTAAAGACGTATTTATCCTTATTTTGGCTCAGTTCATCCCTTTCGTATGAGATTGGCTTGCTATTGGTCAGCTGTACCCACCTTCCGCTTAGCCCCTAGTCCCTGACGTGAACTCTGCAGGCTAGACCCTCTTTTCCACCCTCTCTTGCAGTTCATCACCCTGCGTGAAACTGCTAATGAATATCAGCCCTAAATATCAGTCCACAGGGAACCCAGGCGAACTGTACTCGGGGTCGACGTTGCATATGTCTGTATATTACCGAGGATTACACACCCTGGGTGTCCCCGTACGACCCCTCTGTATATCTATATCCACGTATGGCATATATATACACGTATGTAGGACATGGCATGCGAGTTCAGTCGACGCGTACGCGAAACTCCTACGGTCACGCTCGTTCGTCCCGCGTTAATTCCGTCGACGGAAAACCGTGCGAGGACCATATGCCAACTCCCGTCGTCCTCGGGAATTCTGTCGGAAGCAGAGTAGGGTCCGGGTCACCCCGTTGGCATCCGTCGACTCTTCTTGGATATTTCGAAAACTCTAACTGAAGTTGCTCGCGTATGCTTTTAGGTCGGATAGTCTATGATTTTTAGTCGGGCACTGTGTGGAAATGTACCTACATGACTCTTCTTTTATGATCATGTGTCTGCTGTTAAAATTGAGTGCTGCGTTTCAGACAAATAATACGCCTAATATATGTATATACCATGTACTGTAATATATATATTAAACGTATTATTTGTCTGAAACGTAGCAGTCAAATTTAACAGGAGACACGTGATCGTTGAAAAAATTGTTTAAATATATATATATATATATATAGTATAGGTAAACGGATAACCCGCAGGGGTCCATCTGTATAGCTTATACACATACGTCGAATAGCGTTATATATTACACCATCGTGTTACCGCGGCTGCTATCGTATCATCGTTTCCTACAATAATCATCACCCACATCCCAATTGATAAAGACAATCACTAATAAGTTGTCTCTTGATTGAGAGTGACTCACTCGACGGCTCGAGCAGAAGAACCGGCGTCGGACACGATGCCCCTGCTCCACGGAGTCTGACTGATCCTATTAAATTCGTGGCGCCACAGCAGTAATCGTGTCCCGGAATCGAATCGGATCTCCCTGAAGTCTACAATTGCAACTCTATACCTGTCGGTTCGTATATCGGTCTACCAAATAGATTTTGACTAATCGATACTCCATTGATACTACACAGAGATGCTACTTTTTTTTTTAAGGAAACCTATTATATCATGCATCTCGAAAGGTCTGCAGTCGGTTTGACTTTGGAGGAATAAATTTGGAGCAGAAAATAATGGTTGAGAAAAGCGGATATAGCCTCTATCAGAGATGATGTCTACGACTACCTTATCAGATGTATTTGAGTGTCCCGATTTATTCGTTGACACCCTTGTGTGATATCAGTGACATAGCCAATATCTTTGGCAGCACTGATAGATCAAGCCCCAAAATGTCAACACATTTACCGGTATAGTTACATATAGAGACATCGACGAACAGACATGCTCATATGTATTTATATACATATATAGGAAGTCGACAGGCCCATCCCGCGACGCTGGACGACGCCTGCGTTTGTCAGGGATTAGGCTATCTTACCGCTTGTAAATCACGCCTGCCGCATTGCCGTGCAAACAAATATAGCCATACCCGGATCCAGCTTGATGGCGACCAAGTAACGTAGTATAGGGTCCGAGTGGGACAGCACAGAATTATAGGAAAGTATACATCGGTCCCAATGAGGCCCAGTACAACAGGAACCCTATGTAAACCCGAGCCGACGCCTGTGCACTTTATGTAACAAACACAATAATCCTGAGGTTTTTCGAAGATGTTTTTCAGGGTCACGTGAAGCAAAAATTTTTGAAATCTGGTTATTATGTTTTTCAAAATCACCAAAGATTTTTCGGGACAGTTTCCCGGTAAAATGTTTTTTTTTTCGTACTCGTGCGCCGTGTCGACCCCCCAGCATCCCTATCGGTCCAATTCACGTGTTCCGTATAGCTAGAGTCAGCGTGCTGTTTTTTTACTTTTAACGTAAAACCATAATTTTTATTTTGTAAAACACGGAAGATTGAGCGGCCCTGGGGCCTCTGGCTGCTCCCGGGAACGTGGTACCAGTGAGTGAGTATGATTGATGTGCTTTGTCGTTCCCATCTGACGTCTAACATCTCGCACGTCATGTTCACCGTCTTCAGTCTCGCCACTGAGACCATGTACTGCTTGTGTGTCACTGTTAGGCACATCAGCACCAGAGCAGTGTCAACCGATCGAAGTTCAGTATGAATATTTTGGCCCAGGGAACAAGATGAGGACGAGTTAACCATGGTTTATTTTCGTGCGTAAATATAATAGACTAATAGTGCAAAAATTTATCTGTTATTTAATACGTGAATCCAGACTATCCACTTCTGCAATTGGATATCGGAAGCTTATCGTCGGATTCTTATCAAATTGTGGATATACATATATATTTGTCCATCTACCTATGTTGTTGGCTGGAATCAAGGCATTTACTGTGTGCGGGATTTAATCGTGCCGATCCTTACCATCTATTCGACGTTTAACCGTCGATTGATCCCTGATCAAATTCCTTATGTTACATAGTGAAATATATTCTGCGATTTACAGATCTCGCAATGATAGTGACCACGACTGCGGGGCTTGGCCGCAGTGGCGTTATCTAACCACTGATTGTAAATCTATCTCATCGTCAAAAATCCTGTTGTCTTGATACGATTTCGGGCGGTTTAATGTCTTCGACCGTTGACGGCTAATCTCTTGATGTTAACTATTTAATGCCTCTGATAAATTTTTATGTTAAATTTAACTGTTGATTGCGCAATAAACCGAAGGAAAAGGATATTGTACAAAGATTGTGTTACGTTCAGATATTTTGAAAATCGATAATTTTTAGCAGGTAGGCTTTAAAAATAGTGTACGAGTGTTAATTGATAAGAGTCTGAGCCTACTATCGTTTATATATTTTTTTTAAGGCATCAATCTTATTTTAGAATTCGATAGAGTCACTGATGGATGTAATTAAGGAGCAATGACTAGAAGAGGATCGATCTGTCAGAAATTAAATTTTTGATAATTCTAAAGGACTAGTAAATAAGTAACGTAGACAACACACGTATCATTCGGATCCGCATAGTTTTTTAATCTAGCAGAGTTGCGAGCAGCCGCAATTAATCGACCGATCGATATCCTCAATATAACAATATAAATAACGTCAAAATATCACATACAATAATTCGTTAGATACAAAACGATTATCGGCACTGATAATCAAGATAAAAATGTAATCCACGCTTAAAGAATACGTGTAATTTGAATGGATCACTTCAAAAAAAAAAAAAAAAAAAACTGGTGCATCACAGTACAATGTAAAGATACGATATAGGGAAAAATAATGAAAAATTAGCACCGGTAAAAAAAATAATTGAAAACCATTATGATTATTGTATATAAAGTCACGAAAGTTCCTTACAAAACAAGAAGACATTTCTTCGATCCACGTATTGCCGTATGCATTTCCGTGCGTGCACAGTAGTTCACGTGTCGGCAGTTTCAGAGAAATATCAATCAGTGAAGTCAGGAGCGTAGAATCAGGGTGGCGGAGTGGTTCCACATAATGCTGAAACGGTGGCCTAGAGCGAAAGAGAGAGAACGAATGTAAACCCTATGTTATATCCGTAGTTGGCCTTTACGTATTGGATAATGTCGTGGGTGTAGAGAGATAGCATTTTCAGAGGCGCGATTCTCGATGGCAATGGTTAAGGCCGCGTGTGCGCGCGCGAGTATTCACTTCGCCAGGAGGATTATACGAGGGACGTAGAATGCAGGAAGACGTGCGCATGCGCGTAGAGGATTCTTTTACGAGAGTTCCTGCAGATGTATGAGTGAGCGGGGGTGGAGTAGGGACAACGGGGGCGTATCCTAAAGGCGGAGCCATCGAAAATCCAAGTTTCCGCTCTCTCTCTTTCTCGCTCTCTCTCCTTGTCCGTCTCCCTCTCTCTCGCTCGCTCCATGCAAGCTTCACCCGTCATCGCTCCGGGTCCCTCCACTATCAGATCTGTTAACAGCAGTCTCGCGGCTCCGGCACCATCGGGAACCCACTGTAACGTCTCCGGGAACACTGCTCCACGTTCCTGACCTGCTACTACGGCGAATCAGTGTCTCGCATCGCGGAGGGATCGGTACTAGCTCCTGGCTCTGGCAATCTCATTCATCACGATCGCCTCGACTGGATCGGGGATGCTGGTATTGGCTGCGAGAAAAAGTATCTGAAGTGATCAAACGTCAAAAGTCCAAAGTAGTCCGTTTCGAGTCGGTCGAACCGGGAGGACGTTTCTAGTTTTTTGGTGTTTTGTTGTTGTTGTTGTTGTTGTTACCGTTGACATTTTTCATCGATCAAAGAACAAGACTGTGATTGACATCGACAACAAGTGGGTGAACTTTGCCGAGTATTACGTGGAATAAATTTTAATTTTAATATCTTCGCTCCATGTGGGTTACCTTATTCGTGCTCGCCGCGAGAGGGTTGTTTACGTTCTGAAGACCCTGGGCAGGACGTTTTGTCGTCAGGGGCTGCGGGGTCTCCTGATGCGGTGTTCAGTGGTACGTTGAAAAAAGGACGTTAGGATTGATCAGTCAATCATGATGGAGGTTCAGCAGCAGCACTCACCGGTAGGGGTGGGTCCGCTTGATTTCTCAAGAAGAGGGGCGGCGGAGGCTTCCGCGTTTCGCGTGGTCAAACCAAAGCAGCCACCGAGCTCGCTCGTTCATCCGCAACCACTTCAGCAGGAGACGAACAACAATGAGAATCATCAGGAGAACCCCCAGGTGCCCACGGAGGCAGAAGGTGAGTCAAGATAGAAGTAATCATGGAATTAAGCCTTAAGTCAATATTCGCAAACCGTTGACTATGTCGCTAAAAAAATTGGTCAACCCCTCGTGTGTTTATTCGCGAAGTAAACACGCCTCGTAGAATATTCCCGCAATCCCCTATCCCGTCATCCCCTATCCTGTCATCAGGCTATCCGTTACCTGGCCATTTGTTGCAACCCTCTCGATTGCATATATCGCACACTCGGCACATGTGTTCCGTGCGTGATTACGTAGGTGCGTGAGGATGTGCATTAATTGCGCTATCACCACGCGGTATTCCCACATCGCGGATAAACTGTATGTATACAGACCCACGCGGCTATTACGCACCGTGAGAAATTGCGTAAGTGCGTACGGGGGTACAGGTGCGTATACTGGCAGGGGGTTATCACAGGCCGTTCAACAGGTGAAGGGATGGATGGGGTAGCATTAGATGGCTGGCTATACTAATACCTACTGCTAATCGGGCTAATAGGCTAATGTAATAATATCAAGCCATCCCGGTGTCAGGCGGCCTAAATGGTTTAGGCGATAATTGCCAGGTGATGGGCAGCCAATGGAGGGTGCCTCTCGAGTAATTTCGGCCTATAGCAACGCCGCGATAGTATATTTCGCTCTGTGTAAAACGCACGCCTTTGAATAATACACGTGCGATTAATTTTGCTAGGCAGTGATAACAATTTTTAAGGATGCTGGGTACATGGATCGCAATAAAAAATTTTTTTTTAATATAATTTTAGGCTGAATTGTTTTTTCACGGGACTATTTCTCGTTCGATTTTAATATTTTCTTTGAAAATTTTTAGCGACGGCCAAGCGCATCGAGCCGCTGTCTATAGTCTGTTCGCGTTTTTTTCACTCTATGCGCGATTTATTGCGTATACGGGAATTCCGTTGCAAGTTCAAAAATCATAGGTAAAAAAAATGGTACTCGTCAATTCCAAAATCTTGGAGGTATATCACGATCGCTGGAGGCTTCGCATACGTGCACCACGCCCCGCGATACCCAAACGCCGTCGATCTTCCGGTAAGCTTCGTGGAAAGATAAAAGGCGCCGCCGAAGATTAAGTAGATTTCGAAAGCCAACTCAAATTTGGTGAAGATTCGAACATGGAGGGGTACGAGCTATAAGACTGTCGGTAAAGGTTCACATGACGATCAGGGATAACCTGGGAGCTTATAGGAGAGAGCATGCCCACATATGCACGTCGACACGTCATACAGTCTACATACGAGGGAACGCGAGAGCGCACTCGGTGTGTATTTTTTTCTCCCTTTTTCTTTGCCGCAAATCACGTTAGATTTATCGTTTATAGATTTATGGTGGTCCGATAGTGAGAGGAGGCAGGATAAGCATTGCACAATTTTACCGGTACGAAAGAGAGGGACAAATACACAAAATGAGAGTGAGAGAGAGAGAGAGAGAGAGAGAGAGAGAGAGAGAGAGAGAGAGAGAGAGAGAGAGAAAGAGAGAAAAACTGTCGACTGACAAACACGCATTACCCGTGGCCGATGTTCTTATCTTTCTGTGTAGCATAGCCAGTATAGGAAAATATGATTTATTTCTGATAATCCTGCGAATGAGATAGCTTTGCGGCGAGGAACGCCTAATCTCCGCGCGACCGGTGCCCTATCTCAGATTATCCGCCAGGTTCTATTGCCCGGATTACGCTTTTTTTTTTCCTTCATTTTTTTTTTCACTTCCCTTCTCCTCGTCCATCGGAGTCTTCTATTTTAACCTACCGTACCCAAAAATTATCTACTCGCTTAACTATATGTACTTTGTCTTAGAGGGAAAGAAGAAAAGAAAAAAAAAAATCCTGCGGTCACCTTACGTATTATTGAGGTAATAAATTTCCTACTTAACCGCGCAGATACTCGTCCACCTATCTGATTGGGGACTTAGTACGAAAAATGACAAGATCACGTTATTCGCTTTAGCCCTAAGACAAAAGTGCGAAGACGATGCAGGCAACTTGGTGGAAAGAATGGGATGAAAGGAGTGATGGTTATGCGGACGGGGCTTGACGGCGGGGCGAGGGGGGTGGTTTGAGGGCAGACTTGATAAATAGAGGAAGAGAGAGCCTCCCTCCTTTCTAATAAAGACGCCCGTGTCGAGGGGGTTGATCTTTTTCCTACGGTTAGGGAATACGAAATTCGTCACGACTTGAGACGTCACTAACCCCTGTCCCTCCCCTTTGTCTCTTCGGCATCATCCCTTGTAAGTACCAAGCACTGTCTCTATCCCCCTGTACCTAGTCCTACGATTCCTATAGAATCACGTGGAATCTTGAATTCGGTCGAGATTCCAGCCTGACGAGTCAGGGGTAGGTGGACGTGAGTTCAGAACCTCCCCTAGGTACGAATTACGATTGACGGATCGACAAGAGTCTGAGTGATATCATTTTTTTTTTTCTTGTCTTGTTTCAGGGGGATGTAACGTGCGACTGATGTTTCCTAGACTCTGGGCACCCTTTGGCAATGCTAACGAAGTCACGAATTTACCACCCTTACCCAGGAGTCACTCGGGTACGTGGACGAAAATGTTGATTAATATTTTCTGTTGTAAAAAAATGAAGGGAAAAAAAAACTGGGAAGATAAACAACACGTACGATCGAATAAGAGCCACGACGTTCATGATCGTCCTTGCGCAACCTCTCAACTTCCTCTACTCGTCCCGGATGACCAGTAGCTTTTTTTTTTATTTATCAATTGTCAAGAACCGCCGGTCTCGAATGATTGGGATAAATGGCAGCACGCGTCATAGCGTGCATGCTCATATGTGCCTTCTTCTCCCTTTTCGTCGTCGCTCACTCTCCTACACCCCAATTGGAGCAGATTAGAGGCGCAACACAGGGATTCGGTCGGTCGGTCCCTTTGTACTCGGATGCTGGCGGTCTCTTAGTCTACCTACCCTGAATTAGTAACATCTTGTCATGTTAAACGATCACTCGCTCGCGGTGCACTTCTCCTCCACGTGGCCTCCAGTAACCCCATCCCGAATACTCTCGAGCCTGTACCAGGCCAACCCCTGGCGGGAAACCTATAATTTTGAATTTTCAATTCCCTATACGTTTTTTTACATCGATTTGCATTGACGTGACAAATTTTTTTTACGTGTCAAAAGAAGGTTTTCCTCTTTCGATGTTACTTTTCACAAAAAAAATTTTGAATTAAAAATTTTTTTTCCATCCCGTATAAACGACCTGTCAGACCCAATGCGTGTAACGGCTTTAATAATGGCAGATCGCTACGCAGTAAACGACTGACGGACGACAGAAGATTAACGTTTGTCGTTAACTCGATCTAATTGTCCCCTCGGCTTGGCCTTACTTTATTAATCCACAACCACCACCATCGCCATCGCCATCATCAACCTTATATCCATCGCGGCTTCCTAGGGATCCTCGTCATCGTCGGCGCACCGTTACAGCCGCCAGACGGACCTATAAAATCTTAATCGAGAACAACGACTTGGTCCACTTTAAGGCGATACACAACGAGCGATACACATCCGGTCTATATACCCGTCCTATACCTGAATACTCTTACGTCTGCTTCGACTGTAGACGTATACATAAATTGAATCTAATGACGAATTTGAGAAAAAAAAAAAATTAAAAAATGTTCTAAACTTTGAAATCCGCGTTATGCAAGCACTGCACCGAACCCGGACCAAGAGTGCACCATGTGTCAGTTGTAAGAGAGAGCAATGGCGGTTTTTCTCAACGTTGCATCCACTTTTTACTGCATTCCTGTCCAGGCCAGACGCAGCATTTGCGTAAGCAGTTCTTCCAATCCGTATTTTCTGGAACATCTGTAGATTTCTTTCTTGTTCTCGTCTATATGTATGTGTATATATATATATATACATATTTATATATCATACTGAAAATATATAAAGACCGTTTGTAGATCGTCCAACGATTTACTCGTAAATTATCGCGACTTTTCCTTTCTAGGCCACGATACTCACGCACTGTACTTGATTGGATTACATACGTTAAACCACAGATGGATCATATTTTTATTTGATTGCAACGCCAGTCGGGTCTACACTCGTCCGTCTACCGTCCCCTGACATAGAAAGGGATGAATGACGGCTTTAAATGTGATTAGCCGCCCGGTATATTATATAGCTAAGCGCACGTGCCCACGTCTCGCACTCTTGGATTATAAATATGATATACAAGGGAATATACAGGGTGCATCGTAATAAACGAGACACCATCCCTTATTCATGGGGACTCGTCTATTCTTCCAACATTCCGCATTCCACCCTTATTTCACATTCCGCGCGATACAAGTACGGCCGGGAATCGATAATCAAATTCGAATCTTAAATCACGGTTGATATCGTGCCTTGGAATTAATTTGTACGAAATTATTAATTTCAAGAAATTTATTGCGATTACGTGACTTCGGCCTGCTAAATGTTTTTGCGCATCACGTATTTTTAAGACCTCTTTGATCGATTCTGATACTGTGGAAATTGGTGGAACATATCTTTCAAGCGAAAGCGTGAAGCTGTAAATCCTCAGGTGGATCTAGCAACGCGTTACGCAATTTACGGTGGCTTATCAATGGCGGTCGGTTCTTTGTGATTTAGAGGCACTTGAATTTTTCGGCGAGTGGGGGGAAGAAAGGGTGATCCGGCCGTACGAAGTGAGAATAATATCTGTCGAGTCGTATATCAATGGATATCATTGACACCTTTATGAATCCGGCTGATTAGTCTGGTGAACCTGAAAGCATTCCTAGTTATTCGAGATACGATATATATATATATATATATATATATATATATATATATATATATATATATATATATATATATATATATATATATATATATATATATATATATATATATATATATATATATATATATATATATATATATATATATATACATTAAGCCTTAGCGTCGCCATCGCCGTCCCTTATACACGTCCTTCTGGCCCTCTTTGATTCAGGTTTGCTCCTCCTGATGGAGGCCTCGTTAGCGCAACCCTCCCTCCCGCCCCCCGACCCGACCAAACTCCAAGCCTGCACCAGGAGAGAGATGAAAAACCCTCTACGTGACTTAAATCTCATTCCTGCCTTCAGGATCCTTCCAGTTCGCCATCTATATTTTCTGGGCGTACTGCCTTCGGGATTCTCTAACATTTCTTTTTCTCTTTTCTTCTGGCTTCTCTGCTGTTCCGCTATTACTTTTTCGTCGTTCTCCACTTCTTCCCGTTGAACGAGGATTGGCTTTCTTCAATGGCTTTACGAGCCTGCGTTCCCAATTGTCTATGATTGCAAGTGGTAGATTGTTAGACTCAATAAAGAGGTTGAAGGGGTACGGAGATGGAAGATGGAAGAGAAGAAGAGAAGATAAATAAAAAGAAAAAAATGTTATTTTTCAAACACAGAACGACTTTCTTTTGGCGTCGGTCGTCTAGTGGGTCCACCATCCACAAGGAGTCCAACCCCATCGCCGTCGCCATGTCCAGACTCTCCCGCGGCGGAGCAGCAGGATGCTGACGTCGACGTGGACGTCGAGGAGGAGGTCGACGTCGACGTCGAGGAAGTGGGCGACGAGAATGAGCGCGAAGGCACCAACAGTTCTCCAGCATCACCATCTCCACCCTCGCCATCCATCACCAGGAACACACCCTCCCATCCGCCGAAGAGGTCCGGCGACTCCTTCAGCGTCTCCGCCCTCCTCAGGCCCGATCCCCCATCCGCTCACTTACAAAATTCCTCACCCCTCAGAGACGGCGCACCTACGTCGGTCGGCGCTCATCCACCCCCGCCCACGTCATCCATACTCTATCCACCCCTGCACCTCCAGGGTGGTTTGTTACCAGCTCATCCTCATCATCCTCTCTCGTACCTGCATCCTCACTTACTTCCTCATCATCTTCTACCGCCTCATCTTCATCCCCTGCTCCGAGGAGTTCATCCGGCTCACCCTGGACTTCACTCGGCTCACACTGCCCATGGACTTCATCATCCTCATCCGCTTGGCGATGTTTACAGCTGCGTCAAATGCGACAAGATGTTCAGCACCCCTCACGGTTTGGAGGTAAACAGGCTTTCTTCTGATCCCATTGCCTGTAGTCGAGTTCACCCTAGTTTATATATGAACTCATTCACGCCCTTTTAAACTCTTCTCATCTCTTCGTCTTTGCTACTTGACAGGTACATGCCAGGAGGTCTCACAACGGCAAGAGACCGTTCGCCTGTGAACTCTGCAACAAGACCTTCGGCCACGAGATCAGCTTGACCCAGCACAGGGCAGTGCATTCGGCCGAGAAAGTTTTCGAATGCAAGCAATGTGGCAAAGCGTTCAAAAGGTCAAGCACACTGAGCACGCACCTACTTATTCACTCGGACACGAGACCCTATCCATGTCAGTTTTGCGGGAAGCGTTTCCATCAGAAGAGTGACATGAAGAAGCACACGTACATTCATACAGGTGAGTAGCATTTTGCTACTGATTACAGTAATGGTAGTGTAATGATGGTACATACAGTGATAGAGAAACGCAGGAGAAAAGGGTTCAATTAGCGTTTCTATGAACGTCCGCATAAATAATGCAACTGAAATGTCTGGACGCTGATCGCGTGGCATATGCGACTGCAGGGGCGCGTGCGTGTACGGATCCATTCCTCTTTCGCAATAATCGTAATGTCTTTCTCTGGAGGCCACCCCAGTCTCGCCAGGGCCAGACTCTCACGACTACCCCCGGGAGATTCAGCGACCTCAATTTTCAAATAGAATTTCACTGCGACTAGATCGTCCGTGGGAATAAATGTCGCGAGTTCGATCAGGCGCATGCGCCTGATGTGCGTCGCTTGAGAATTTGGATTTTGGGAATTTGACAGAAAAAAAAATGTTGATAACATAATGTAAATGGACCAGGGCACGGGTACGGAATAGAGAATTAAAAAACCACTTGGTATACGGTACAGAGGGGGTGAACCATTTTTGTATCGTCTCTCGTGGGGTGTGTTTGTCTTCGATAGCGCGTCCCTGGACGGTGGTGAAGCGGAGAATAGGAGGGTAGAAAAAAAGGCAGAAAGCAGGGGTGGGACACTTGACACTTAGGTGTCTCAGGGCTGATGGAGCGGGGTTTGGGGCTTTGTTGAGGGGTGGCTCTTGGCGTGGTTGACGCCAAGGAAAGAGGGAAACCCGTGGAGAGGAGGAGAACGAGAAGAGTAAGAGTCGTGAGGGTCTGGTCGCCTCTGGGTTTTGTATCGTCTCCATGGCAACCCTCCCAATGTCTTATCAAATTATCACCTTGTCCTCCCCCATGCCTCTCTCGCGCCCTTCGACCCCTCCTAGACATCCTGGCTCTTCTGGCTGCCTGCCGTTTTCTTTCCCTCCACTCAACTCGCTCCCTCTCGACCGTTTCATCCCTTCATCCCTCTCGCGCAAGAAGCACCGACAAGAGAGGATACAAAGCAAAAGCGATGGTCACTTCTCTGCTACTAGCGACGTATGGGACCCCGGTACACGCAATCCACGTACAGCCCTTAGGTAGGACGGCGGCCAAGGGTCGCACCGGAACATTTAATTCATTATTCAACCCGATGAAAAATTCAGGAGCACCCGCAACCTAGCGTCTAACGCCACGGTCCGCTCGAATTACGCTCAAAAACGCAAGCGTCCCGGTATACATTATACGGACACGGGGCGTCGGACTCACCCCTGTGTTCCGCATTCTACAATTTTCCAAAAAACCATTTTCTCAACTTCCATCGGAATCCTCGTTACGGACACCAATCCCCCCATTGGGTTAGCCTCGACCCTTTCTGCATTTTTCAACCCCCCCCCCCGTCCCCTTATCTCTCCCGCCCTCTTTCACTCCCAACCACCCTTACTTCTCACTGCTGGGAAATCTCGCAGTATCCCACGGACCGTCGGGGGTCTACGAGGATACCGTACGGCACTGGGTGCTCTGGGACTCGCAGCTAATGATAATCAGTCCTGCGCCCCCGAGCTCGGGCCATGTGCAATAAGGGTGCGGCACTGTCGGATTCCCCGGGGACCGGCATGGCGTAACGTAAAATCATTATTAGGTAGGTAGGTGGTAGGTGGTGGTTGGCGGTGATGGTGGTGGGTACCAGTGGCACTGGCAGTAACCCCCGTTGCACACCGTGGACGGGGGTTGAAAATGGGGCGGGAGCCAGGGAATAAGAGCTCTGCAAATATTGTTCGTGCGCGGGGCCCCAGTTCGAATAGCTAAGGGGGTAGGCGGGGAGGGAGGTGAACTAAAGTAATGTTACGTTACGTATGCCTCGGCGCTCTCTCTCGTGTTGGCTGTAACGAGTCAAGTGCGCACCGCGGGGTTCCTCGGAAAGGGTGCCAACTACCCCTGGCCCACGAGAGCCGGTAGGTGACAGACTGACAAGTGGTTGGTCATCCCCGACGTGATATCGTCATCCCCGAAATGAAAATATTAGTCAGGAAGTGTTCTCCCTGTAAAAACATTCGGTGACTTATGACCACTTGCAGCAAAACTACCCCTTCGAGAATATCCAAATTGGTAAAGTCACTCACTACTCACGCGTACTATTAACGAACCTTTCATCCCTCAAAAATCTCACATCCAATGAACGGACACCTATGGGTGTCCTCGCTGAGGATATCCATCCTCAAATTGATATCTTGCATTATCGATCAAAGGGGCCACGGTCGCATGTGTATTTCGAGTGTGCATTGTGCACGCACCCTTAACCGCACGGTATGCCTCGTCAAACGGCAAACCCTCTGTGTTTTCACAATAAACACAACCTGTCCGGTCCGACGCAAAGTAAAGTCGGGGATCTATATATTTTTACGTGTAACCGGGAGCCTTCTTCCTGGTACAGTCCCATCCGGTATCACTTTTACCCTTAAGCAGTACAGTTGCACAATCGAAAGCTTGTCTTACGTTTATTTCTAACGAACCTCGCTGTATAACCATCCAACCCATATCGAGCCCACCTGCTACGTCCTAAACAGTCTCACTATTATCACCCTTCGAATTTACTACCCCTATCCCACCTCTGGCATATTCTCACTCTTACACGAGTACGTGTGCGCGTGTTGGACTCGAGGGCTATTAGAGGTTTCCGGCTGACTTGGCGCCCCAGGCGTCGGGGCGCCGCAACATCCCGCTAAGCTGTTTAAACTTCGCGATGGTGGACTCCCCTTCGCTCTTACGGCTCGTTAGTGACGTCGGTAATGTCGTGTTATAATCTAGCAGCCAGAACAGCCTTTCTGACAGTCGCGTGGAGAGGCAACATCCTCATGGGACGGAAGCTTCGTTATTTTACCATCGATAAAAGTTCTAATAACAATACATATACTTGTCGGTATATGTTGAAATAAAACAATTTTTTTTTTCAAAAACTTCTTATACCTTATACGCCAACATTTTTTCGGCGAATCGACGTCTAATTAATTAACTCATCGATTAATCGAACTCTACCTCGCGATTGGTGGCCTGTGTCACTGATGTAAAATACACGTTACCGATACCCTATTAAATATGCAAATTGACTGCTATTACGTTACACGCTCACGTATAACACGACCAAGTGAGGTGCGCATGATGTTCATAGAGTTGAGCTGTATGATTAAATTTCCAGGGATATCGATATGCCAGAAGCGCATCGGGCCAGACACCCATTCACAATTTGACTACCGCTACCGACTCCTGTCCATGATAAACGTCCCCCCCACGTTTGGCCAGCTCAAAATTAACTGCATATCGCGTGCAGCGGCGCATCGCGGGCTTTCTTGTATGCAACGACCCCTTTAAGCTTGCGCGTCGGACAGCCATATTGTCTTCCTGTTTTCTCGGTAGGATTCGAGTACGCATGACCTATACCTTATGCGGTACTGTACTTCGTGTACGAAGCGATGTCACTTCTGATAAGGATGAATTTATCTGGTTCTATTACCGGGAAGATAATCGTGTCTACTAATCACGGTGCATTATCAAAATTCAATATGTACATACACGTGCTACTAACTTCGGTTATAAGGGCAGATCGGATTTGTCACTATTTCCCGATGCGAATCGACGCTATAATAATTTAATAGCCATCCATTCGCAGTGATCGTTAGGGAGTGGGATTACTTTACCGATTCCCAGTGGAACCGAAGCACTAAGGAGCTAACTGACTTAGCCGCCGTATCACGTTTCCCGGAACAGATCCTTCCTGCTCTCGTGGTCGAGTACGGGATCTTCTTGGCAGAGATATAAATCCGACAGTAATATCGATGGTTACTTGTTTCTTGACCATTTTATTTATTTTTATTATTTTTCTTTTTATTAAAATTACAGTCATTATTATTATTTGATCCAGGATCGTTCCGATACGCTTTCGAGGGGTAAGAAGCATGAAAGGGTCGTAGGGCGGATTTTAAGGGTGGGTTTATCAATTCTGTACAAAACATTTTCAGCTGACCTTTGACCGCCGTAAATTCCCTCGACTGCGCTTCGTGCTGCTCCGCAACAACGTACATACGTAAATACGCAGACAGGTAGTAACGGACGGTACACACAACCCCCATTTGTAGATAACCTGGGTAACGTAGATACATATGTACGCGGTTGGATCCCAGGGTAGCATTTTAGGTACGGGATATACGTCCAACGAGAAACAACCCCTCTATCTCGTGTACCTGAAATAGTAAATACACACCGCGTTGTTGAACGGAATCGGGTCCGTCGAGACCCATGGACATACGTGTCTACGGAACCGATCGACTAGACTGCCACACCAGTTTGCACATCAGTTTCTGGGTTTTCCTAGTTGCCGCACGATGGGAGAACGTCGACGTAGGAGGATCAATCAGGTATTCGATTTTGACGATATTGCTGCCGGGTCAATTTTTTTTTTTCAAAATCCACATTTTTTTATGTACGTATACAAGCACCGAGCCGCACCTAACTAACGTGGCTGTTTACGGAAAGCGATCATTTTTTTTCATCTCTATCACAAGGTAATCCTGAAACTTCTTCGATAGGTCGACGAAAATCCATGCTGTCCTCGTGGTGAAATATGAAACGCGGTTCTCTTGGTCTTCCCTGCTATCTATTTCTCGGCTACTTTTTTTTTCTGCTTCCCCATTCACCCTCCTGCCGACTGTCTGGCACTCCTCTTCGTGCCAGGAAAAACCACCCTCTATCGAGCATCACTGTCCCTCTCGCGGGGATTTCGATTGGAGGGTTGGAACTCTGCCCTCTGTATTCGAGGGTTGGAAAGGAAGATGGTCGATGGAGACGAGAGGAAATCAATGCCACGGGTCCAGAGTCCAGTTTTCTGTTACCCTTGGTATACTATGCCGGGGTTCGAATACCTTTAACCTAGCCACCCCTTCGTACCTTGGAGTTGTACTCTTCTGACCCAGGATAGCAACATCTATTGCGCAATCGAAGAATCCTGGGATTTGAGTCCCTTGGTATATCCTGGAATCCGTATACCGGGACTCGTCTCGATTCCTTCGGGATTCTTTGGAAGAGATCGATTATCGTGAAAGGCACACACACGCGCACCACCTACCCCCCTCACCGTCGTAGACAGTAGGTCCTACGAAATCCATCCTGAAGAGATAACGAGAGTTCTAGGAAAGTTTTCAAGGACCTCGTTGGAAAAGTGATCAAAGTGCTGTCACGGTTTTCCAGAGGTATAGACTTTCTCCTGAGGGATGAAAGTCGGCGGTGGGCGAACGAGAGGTTGGGGGTGGGTCGTACTTGGCCCTGGATAGAGAGGAGATGGACTAGGGTAGCTATGAAAGATAGAGAGACTGAAAGAGAGAAGGGGGAGGGAGAGAGAGAGAGAGAGAGAGAGCAAGAAGAACCCTCAAGATTTCCTGGAGTTTAATATAGTTTTAGGGGCGGCGGCGAAGAGACCAGGAGTGTAATGGCGTCTTAAACCCCAGGGGCTCTCAATGTCGTACCGCGACTCCGTTGAAAATTCGCCAAACGTAACCACGTCGCGTTGGAATCTCTTAAAAAATTGAACTGCGAATCTCAACTCGAAGAGGCTAAATCTTTGACCATGGCTACTAGCCGCACAGGATGAGAGCTGAGTACCTAACCTATAAGCTATGTAGGAGAAATACAGCACCGATTCTGCATTGCATTCAGTCGGTATATGTATATGTACGGTGATGTACCATGGTACATAGGTGTATACATATGTATATAGTGGTTCCTGTAGAGACATATATATATATATATATACACACTATGTACACTGGCATGGCGCCGCGTGGCTGGACTGCAAGAAAATAAAGATAGAAGGGCAACCTCGGAGAGAACTCGGACGGTTCTTGATTTTTACGAGCCCGTAAATTCCTGAGATCCCCAGCCACGCGAAAATTTTCCAGCCTGACCCCACTGACTTCGGGAAGCTGTTACACCAGGAGTACCTTCTCGTGGAATTTCGTTACGCGAATTCCATTGTGATTATTTTATACGAGGCAGAAGAACAGGGCCTTGTTGCTCTCTTTGCGTCATCTGGATCCGTTGGGAGCCTTAATGCAGAAGAGACGTACCCTGGAGGCCTCTTCGGTTCCCTTTCGGGCACGCGTATTTTATTCGCGATCGAATCGCACGGAATCTGGATTTCGCGGATTTAGGGCAGACCATAGTGGGTTGGGTATATCGCGATGGTGAGATTGAAGGCTCGACTAACGAGTTGTTTATGGATCCACC